AGACGGGGGTTACGCTGAGGCGGTAACGACGCTGTGTGTCCGCAGGTACGCCGTGGAGGATGTGCCCTTCTCGGTGCCCGCGGCCTCTGAGACCACCGACCTCAGCCACCTCATCAACAAGCTGCTGGCGGCCGGTAACGGTAGGTGCCGGGGCGGGCGGCCGCTTCGCCTAGGCGGGAGCTCAGAGCAGCCCCGAGTAGGCGCCGGCCTTGCGCACTTGCCTTCCCCTCAGAGCCCTCGGCCACGGGGTGACGGGTTCCACCTCAGCCCCGTGTGTCTGACCGCGTGCCCCGGGTGCGGGCACAGCCTGCACCTCTGCCGGAGGCTGCCCCGCTGCCCTACACACCAGGCGAGTTGGGCTCATGCCTTGGCTGAACTCGACCCCTTGCGGGGCATGGTGCCGCAAGTGGGACGGTTTAAGGCGGGCCAGGCCAAAGGAACGTGCTGTCCGAGTCAGAAGCAGCATCCTGGTACCCACAGGCCCCTCAGTGAAGTCAGGCCTCAGCCTGAGCCAGGCCTGTGCTTCGGTTTTGGCCTGTCTATGCAGAGTAAGGTAGTTTTTGAACTTGATCTGAAACTCAGCGGGTATCAGTGCTGGTGGGCAGTCCCTGGAGAAATGCTCCACCCTTTGCCCAGCACCTGTGCCTAGCACCACAGATCAGGCTGCCCCAGCAGATGATAATGGAAAGGTTTCCCAAAACCTGGTAAAAGAACTAATAAAATCAAAGGTTTGCTCTTTATGAAAGCCTTTGAGAAGAGTTCAACCATCCTGTCAATGCTAGCTGAAACAGATCTGACAAAAGATTTTTTCTGGGGAAAGACCCCTGTACGATTTTGAAAAATCCCTAGACTGATTGTATCTTAACCTTCTGAGACTTCTGCAAGTTGCTTTTAACTGAAGACATCGCAAACAACCTTGAATAGAAAACCAGTGTACCATGCAATTTTCTTGTCAAAACGTAGGGCCTTTGTCAACTATGCCATTACAGAGGGAGAAACATGAACCAAAAATTCTTGGGATTTTACTGCTGCTGCCTTAAGTGCACGGATCTGGCTAGTAATGATAAAGATGTGGGTTACCAGTGGCAAGCTCCATACAGAACAGTGGTGAAGGACCACGGGTTTGATTAGATGTAGCTACAGAGAAAAGGAATTGGAAAAGAATGTGTTAACATTGAGAGGCAAACTTAACTCTCTGAACCCCAACAGCAAATTTTCCTTTCTCTGAACTCACACCGTCCTGTGGAATTTATGGGCTGCCCACTTACAGTTAGAAGAAATCAACTGTTGGGGGTTTGGGTTTTTTTTGTTGGTTTTTTCCTAACCTCTTGCTGGCTCAATTCTCCTGAACCAGTGACTGAATGATGCTATTCTTGATGGTGTCAAATAAATAGTGACTCCTGAACATGGATTTTTCCTAATTTGTTTCAGCGGATCACAAATATGTGGAATTTGACTTCCTCATCAATGGCCAGTTCTTGCGTATGCCGCTGGTCACACACATGGAAATGGAAAATATCTCCACGGTAAGTCACACTCAGTTTCTCCCCATCTTTGACAGTAGAACAGACTCAGCCGGTTTACTTCAATCTGATCTAGGTATTATACTGTCATCCTGACTAGGCAGATTTCCTTGCTCAGTTTTATTTCTTTTCAGACTTTTCCCAAGAGAACTCCCTGTATGTATAAATCCATTCTGAACTGTAGAGTATGGGAGTGATCAGTGCAAGGAATGTTACCCAGTCTGTTGTATGGAAACAGTTCAGAGGGGAAATTCTTGCCTTATCCTACTCTATTAGTTACATTGGGGGATAATGGGGAGGTTAGTATTACTTCTAGAAAATGTCATGAAGTATTTTAGACACCAGTTTTGTATGGGTAAATACAGAAGAGGAATCTGACAAGAGTGAAATTATTTGATTTTGTTCCCAGCTTGCTATTAATAGTAATTTGATAAAAACATGGTAGCAGTGTAATTTAGATACTTTTTCTAAAGTCTTTGCCACATTAATGGAATTAAAGGACTTGGATACCAGGATCTTTGTCCAATAAACTTGTATATTTGCACCATGCTACAGTTAAATATTATTGTTACTGATTAAAAAAAATAAAACCAACCTAAATAAGTATTTTGTCTGTGAACTCAGGAAGAAGTGGTGGAAATAGAGTATGTGGAGAAATATATGGCCCCTCAGCCAGAGGAATGCATCTTCCATGATGACTGGATCAGTTCTGTTCAAGCCACTGAAGAATGGTACCACACTAAGCCAATTCTGTTTTGTCTTACCTATTGCTGTTGTGTGCAGAGGTGTCCGTGGTGTCAAATGGAGTGGTATTCTCTTTAATAATGTGGGTTTGGTTTTGTTTCCTCTCTGCTCTGTTTTTTTTACCTGTCAAGTCAGTCAGCTACTTGCTTTTGTAAGCAGTTCAGTTTTAACGCCTCTATTCTGTGGTGACAGTGACTGTTAACAGAAACAGAAAAGCTAGAGTCATGACCATATTAATACGAATGAAAAATACAAATGCTGTTTACTGTCCTTTCTGTTAAAGGACAGCAAGATTTCCTTATCTCTTTTTAGCTTAAACCCTTGACTTCAAATGTGACATTCACTAGAAACAAATATAATAGTGTACTTTATGCAGAGCTTTTATTTAAAAAAACCCCAGCCAACCATTGTTGTCCTTTTCTACTCTATTTTCATATTCATTTTCCAATCAGCAAGGCAATGTTCCTATATTAAGTAACATTTTGAAAATGCTTTGAGATCCTCTAGTAATACCACAAATTATCTTTTGTTTTAAATGACATAAGCAATCTTGAGTCTCACCTACCAGACTATTTAATACTCTTAATGCTTTTCTTTTTGCCCCTTATTCCTAGCCATGCAGTTGTAGGTTTTAATGAAGCTTTGCTCTCTAACAAAAAGATTTTTTTATTTTCCAAACTTTTTTTTTGGTAGGCAAAGTAGCTATTTTGAATTTGTTGTGGCTAACCAGTTACTATGCTACTATTTTTTCCAAGCTAAGGCTTTACTTCATAAAAACATTGGGTTTAAAGACAATAATGTTTCAAATTCTGTACCTTATAGGATATTAACTGGCTGCTATGATCAGACTGCTCGAATCTGGTCTTTGGAAGGAAAATCCATCATGACGATAGCTGGGCATACGGAAGTAGTGAAGAATGTGGCATGGGTGAAACAAGGTCAGTGTATATATATTAGGGGAGTAGTAATAGTTTGATTTATTGGGGAAGAAATGTCAGCATTCCTCAGCTATGAATATTTAGTTATCTAAATGCTACAATTATTTTGATCTCCATCAGTGATGTTAGAAATGAAAGTCATGGTGTGAGTAAAACAGGCCTTTAACAGTAATGAGCATAATTAGTTTAACTTGTTTGTTGTTTATCCACCTTGCAGACTGCATTAGCAAATACCTGTATGTGTATTTACATAGTAGTTGCAGGGTAACATGAGATAAACTAAGATATGTATGAGTTTCTATCTGCTATTTCTTCTTTGACTAGAATAATTATATCTAGACTATAAAGACTTTGTAAAGCTGTTGGGTGTGAGCATGACTTTTTTTCTTCCTCAGATAGTTTATCATGCCTGTTACTCAGTGCTTCAATGGACCAAACTGTCCTGCTATGGGAGTGGAATGTGGAGAAAAACAAAGTGAAAGCCCTTCACTGCTGCAGGGGACACGCTGGGAGTGTAGACTCCATAGCTGTTGATTGTACGAGAACTAAAGTGAGTGACTCCTGGAAAGAAACCTCTGTCTTTTGGAATGTTAGCAGCCTGTATCTCAAAATAATCATGTCTCTGTGCCTGCATAGGTACTAGTCATCATGTTGTGATGACTGACACACTGCTAAGTTTCCAGTCTTGTTATAAATGGTGGTTATTGAGGATTAGGAGTGGTATATCAATGCTAGAGTATCTTCTCAAAGTGATGCACTTAACCTTTAGTATCAAAAAGATGAAGGTGACTTTAGATAGCACGGGCCACTATACTGTTGTGTTTGATTTCTGTGAGCAAAGCTGAATGTTTATTTTAAAGTAAATTTTACTTATAATGCATGTGAATTTTGTGTTATACTGAACTATTTTCAAATTTGACCTAAATTTTCACAGTAGCTTTGGTGGAAAATAAATTTCCAGAGTGATACTCAGAAAAAGCAGGTGGTAGAAGAGGTCCTTTCCCTTTATTGAGGAATTCAGCAGTTAAAGAGCACTCACTGCAAAGGTAGAGTCATTGCTCCCAGTTTGACTCAATATCAGACAGGTTAAAATAAAACCTTTTGGTGATGAAGGAAATAGAGATATTTTGTAGATGTTTTTCCTGAGAGGAAGGACAAAAAATAATTGGATCTCTGCTGAACTGTTGGGGTTTTTTTGAGGAACCTAGCACTTCATGTGTTATAACCCACTGGTTAATTTTTCAGGCAGGAAGTGTATTTAGTACGGCTTACAAGGTCTGTCTGGATCAATTCTTAACAAAATGTTTCTGCTCATACAGTTCTGCAGTGGATCCTGGGATAAGATGTTAAAGATCTGGTCTGCAGGTAAGATAAGCATAAAGCTGGGATTCTTGACTCTCTTAAAAAAACCTGTACTTAACCTGAAAGATATATTTGAATACTTTTTTCTTCCAGAGAATTTGAGTCTTAGTATTAAAAGAAAGGTAGAACTTTTTTTAGAAGGCTATACAACAGTATATCAAGTTACTGGTTTAGTTGGAAACACCTTTTCAGATATGGTTAGCAACTGTGTGCTGATGTTTATTCGGAACATAGTATTTTATCTCTTTCATTTATTTTTAATGGATTTATATAAATGTGCATGTTTAAGTATAGACTTCTTACAAATCAGAAGCTTGTGGGTTATTTTCCTGTTCTATTATTGACGCTATAATATGGAGGACAGTAAGATGACCAGATCTCTTCTAGAAACGTAGACTAAACCCATTTGATCTGAATGCTTTCTTTTGTTGTTCCAAGTCGTCATCTTTCAGTTTGAGAGTATATATGTAGGTACTATAGCTAAAAGAAAGGTTGTGTTTATCACACACCTGAATTATTCTTGGAATTTTCCATGCATAAGGATGGTCTTAACATTTCATTGGGATGTCATTTTAAAACTGCGTGACCTGGAAAACAGCACTTACTCTGTATTCATTTTCCTCTTTCTTGAAATGGAGATAATACTGATGTGATCAGATCAGATTAAAAGGTTGAAATATTCCTGCATCGTAGACAGGCTAGGCCCTGTAAATACAGGGGTTTGCTTAATTACTTGTATAGAAATGCAACTCAAAAACTTCTAGATCAAGTCTGACTCATCTTGTGTCACAGTACCAACAGATGAAGAGGATGAAATGGAAGAATCAGCTAACAGACCACGAAAGAAGCAGAAAACTGAACAGTTGGGACTAACAAGGGTAAGATGAGCTCTAGGTTTGTCTGGGATTTTTTTTTTTTTTTTTTTTTTTTTTTTAAGAGGTGTGGCCACACAGAAGAATTTCTCTTTGTTAAAAGTGATTATATGAAAACTTCCGGTGATACGTCTCAGGCTCAGCAGACAACATATTTTTATTTGTTGATGTAATAGATTTTATGACTATATTCAATCTAATCTCTCACCTTTTAAATTTTAGACTCCTCTGGCAACCCTCTCTGGCCACACAGAAGCTGTCTCCTCTGTGCTGTGGTCAGATGCTGAAGAAATCTGCAGTGCGTCATGGGACCACACCATCAAACTCTGGGATGCTGAGACTGGAGATCTCAAATCAACTTTGGTGAGATCATTATACTTTGTAGATTCAGCTGAAGTCCAGCCCAAAGAAATCAGTTGTGCAATAGAGTAGCTCCTCTCTTGAGTTACTATTATTTTTTCTGACAGACAGGAAACAAAGTGTTTAATTCTGTCTCTTACTCACCACTGTGTCGACGCCTCGCATCTGGGAGCACTGACAGACATATTAGACTATGGGATCCTCGCAGCAAAGGTGAGCTAAAACATGCATGTTCTCGAAGTTGTGCATTCAAAATCAGAACTTCTCCCTGTTGGGAGACATATCTCAAACTGTTTTCTGGTCCCTCTGCCTAAAACAAGCCATTCGGGATCTTTTATTAAATAGAAAGTTACATCTGTTTTCTGAAAGCTGATGCAAGACTTTTGATTTCTCACCTAAAAATTCAGAAAAGTAACTCATCTTAGGTTATCCCTTTTTCTTTTGTTTTAAACTTAACTAAAGAATGTTCAACTGTGCAATTGCAACGCTGAACTATTTCTTTTGTAAGGTTCACACCCGAGTTGGTCAGACCATCATTAAAGTGAAAGAGTAGTCATTTTGTTAGGATATAGTGGTGCCACATCTGACAGGATTGTGGATAATTTAGGACTGAACCTACCATAGGCTTTTCATTGACATGTTTACTTGTTTTCATAGATGTTTACCTGTTTAACTTCTATAAATCTAATTCAGCATTTAACACTATTATATTTTTATATGTTAATGATAAAAGGGGGGGTTCTTTGTTTGTTCAGAAATCTTTGAAAAGAGTTTAGTGACAAGAAAATACATTTTGAGTTTTGTTTGGTGTGTCATTCATGTCCTCCCCCTGAACTTGTGTGGTTTGTTGGCTTTCTTTAAAGTTCATTCTGATTTTTGAAGTTAGAATTACTGGTAGGAGAAACACTTACCTTGAGCACAAATATGTGGCTGACTGCTTTTCTCACTGGATTTTGTCTCCATCTTAAAAGTGTTGGTTTCAGTCTAATGATATCTTTTTTTTTTTCCCCGCTTTCTGTTCAGATGGCTCCTTGGTTCTCCTGTCACTAACATCTCACACAGGCTGGGTGACATCTGTGAAGTGGTCACCTACCCATGAGCATCAGCTGATCTCTGGTTCTCTGGATAACATTGTGAAGCTCTGGGACACAAGGAGGTAAAATGGATGTGTTCTTTGCTGGTCAAAGGCACATAAGATTACAGGGTCAGTTAAGCTAATGGAATAGCAAAAGTAGTTGGAGACTTTCACTGGAAATTCCTGTGGCATTTGTAGGAATCCTCTAGGTTGTAGGAGTTGAGCATATAACAAAAGGGAGAAAAATACTTTTAGCCTACCACAGGACATGTGGCTTAACGTCTGTGAGAGCTGTATGGTATTCCAAGACAGGACTTGCATGGCATTGACAGCAGGACTGACTAACATGCAGAAGGCAGCATCCATAACATTGCTACTGGGATTAGGAACAGCAGAATGCCTGCTAACTATTCTTCTGTTGTAAGGAACAAAATACATTCTAAGGAATGAGCCTACCAGTGTGAAGTTTCACTTGGTACTCTTTTCAGACCTTTCATTACAAATTTCCAAGCAGTTAATTGGTTTGCATTCAGAAGACATAAATGGCTTTTCTGGAAAACACATGCAGTCAAGCAGCATCTACACATGGAAGAATGAAACTATAATAAACTGTTGCTAACAAGCAGGATTAGGATTGACTAAATTTCAGGGTACCTTGCAAGCAGGTGAAAAATGTTGCTGCTTTTCTCTTTGGGGATATAGGAAGGGTTAACATTGTGATCGGCTCTGGAGAAAGGAGAGGAAACATTACAGATGGTAGAATGTCTGTAGTCTCTGAAAGTGTTTATAACTGCCAGACCACACCTGGTTGATAGCATCATGATAGAATTTCTTCCAGAGACCAATTTGTTTTCTGTGATTGCTCACATATCTTCAAACGTGTGACTGTAAATACTTGTGTTTTACCAGTTGCAAAGCTCCTCTGTATGACTTGGCTGCTCATGAAGACAAGGTGTTGTGTGTGGACTGGACAGAAGCAGGGGTAAGACTGAAGAGCACATGACTCAGTTTATATGCATGGTGGTTCGGAAGAGGGCTGAAAGCTGTCACGGACTATTTGCTCCTTTATGCTTAAAGATGACAGGAACTTTTAGGTATGCTTTGCTTGATACTGGGTGTTACTGTCATATGCACTGTAGCACCTTCCCCATACTACTGTGCAAAGGAGTAGGATGGCAGTTTAAGCTCTGTAGCATTAAGGGAGCATTGCAACATGGAGAGACGCGAGGAGAAAATACGTGTTCCAAGGTACTATTTGCTGCCATGGAGACTAAAGCAGCAGCATGAACTGACAACTGGGGCACAGCAGTACAGTGGAAGGGGGGAACTACCTAATCCTCTTACAGCAAGCTGTTCTGCTACTGTAGTGGTACACACATGTATCAAATGGGGAAAAAAACATTTTGTTAATATTCAGATTGCATTGTGGCTCCTGTTCTCAGTAAAAGGCAGGAAAACCTTCCCTGCCAAAACTTTGCTTCTAATTTTAGGAGGAGGGTAAGAGACAAGGTTGCTTCTGCAATTTGATTGTGGGTTTTAGTCATACATTAATAATGATATTAATCAGTTTTCTTTTCCTCTCATTAGTTGCTGTTGAGCGGTGGTGCAGACAACAAACTCTATTGCTACAGATACCCAGCTACAGCCTCTGATGTTGGAGCATGAAGGTCAAGAGGCAGAAGACTCTTTTCCTGAAAGATTTTTGCAGCAGTCACTCTGTTAGCAACCTACACAACCAAGATCTGAAGGAGTTTTTTGTTGATCAGACACCTGTTGTTCCTGTTTTTTGTATTGATAACCTACATCCTTATTTGTCACAGAAGAATGACAACAGTTATAAATGTGAATAGAGTGAAACAAAGCGAAGTGTCTTTCCTCCCTTTTTGATGGCTTTGAATTAACATCTTTTAAATGACTATTTGTTCAGCCCTTTTACTAAGGAGTAAATTGTTCCCAGTACTTACAGAAAAAATTACTTGCTGGACTAAATTAGTTTTTTTAGTTCACCTGCTTTCCCTTGGAGAAAAAAAAAAACAAACAAAAAACACCTTACCTACAGTTTATTGGTTTAGTGCCTCACCAGATAAAAAACAGACATCAGTCAGACTTCTTGCAGTAGGACTGTTGGCAGTTCTTACAATTAGGCCCTTAATTGATGAACCCAGGCTTCTTTCTAGGATGAAGACTTAGTACATTTGCAGTGCAAGTGGTATGATATAAAGGAACTTGACAGATTTACTGCCAGATTAAATATTCCAATGTTGTTGCTCATAAATTAGGGCTGTAAACTACTTTATCAGAATGTTCCTGCCTTGTGCCACAGTACTTGTTATGCTGCAGTACAATAATGAGGTATCTTACTCCTAAAAAGCAGCAGATGTATAGAAACAAGTGGAGGATCACGCAGAGAAGGCAGAAGAAAAATTAATTTGTTCCTAGAAAGAACGGATACAAAAACTTGCAATAGTTTTTATGGATAGAGGGTAAGTACTCATTTTCTCTGCTGGTGGTCTTGCTTTAATTCAACATTTAAATGAAAAAGCTATTGTTACAGTTTGTGAGATGCCATATATGTGATGTTAAACCAGCACATAGTTTAACAGTGTGGAAACCAAACTTGAATATCCTCACTAATGTCTTAGCTTCCAATAAATGTAAGAGCTGTACAGCATAATCAAGTCAAATGCTTTTAAATTGCAAAATTTAAATTGCAAAATTGTTAATTTTTTTGTTGAAGAGTAAAAACTCTGACCTCTGGGTTTACTGTATGGACGAGTCCCATCTAAAGCAGTTGAGGAAATGCCAGAACAGCAAAGCTGTGGAGAAAACTGCAAGGGTACGGGGGAGGGATCTCGGATCCCTTGGTTCTGCAAGTAACGTACTACAACTACTAGACTAACCTTTATTTACAGATGCTGCTTACAAGGAATTGTCTTGCCCTCATCTTGTTATCCATGTGCATGTTCTTAGTATGCTTCATCCTTTCTAACACACTATTCATACTTTAATAGAGTAATTGCTTTTATTTTTTTCTTATTTTATTCCTTTAAAATATTGATTTCTATTTACTCCACAAACTGGAATTTGCAAATATGGTGTGAATAATTACTTTGTTTTGTAAACCTACCAAAAATACAAAGCATTTTTTGAGCACGAATTTAGTATGTGCTGGAACATGCAGTATTCCTGCTTCCCCACTATTATAGGTTTGTATAATTTCACATGCACATTTGTGGATATGCCAGTCTACTCTAGCAATTGTTAGTCTAATACTCGTGAAAGTTTTTTTTTTTTTAAATCTAATAGTTTTTTAGTATGAGAGTAATATCCTCTTTAGGTAATCCTTAATCCAGTATACCTGACTTTTGGAGGTCTTAACCAAGTGAAGTTTGGAGGTGTTTTTAGTGGAAGGCAAGACAGTAAAGGAAGTTTGGAAAATAGTTTCCGTTATTTCTCTTCAAGACTCCCAGTGACCGTTTAATCTAAAGTCTTGAGCTATTTTGTGTATTATAAGAAACATCTGGTTTATTACTCTTTGCAGTTTTCCTTTCAGGTAAACTACACTTGAGCATAGTGTTTAGAATTACTGTGGTATTTTAGTCAGCTGTGGAGCATCCCCAGCCAATTAAGTTGTTGATAAAAATAAGTGGGTTCTCTTACAAGCATGTGTCTGAAGACTTATGAATGCAAGATAGGTAACCTTAATACTGGCTTTTTGCCTTCCCAGAAGGATTTTTAAAATACTTTTTAAAAAGATCATGTCAGTTGGACTGTCAGTTTAAAAGGATTAATAATAGTTTACACTTAAGAAATCCAAGCTGGCATTAATCGTTTTAGTTTCAAACACTTGAATCCATTAGATCTACTACACTTGTCACCTGTAATAAATACACAGAGTGTAACTAGAAAGGTACGTTTTGGTAGATCATAGTTCAGCAGGAGGGTTTTTGCAACCTCTTCTCACTTTGGGTTCTTTTATTTGGAAAAGTACTGTGTCAGACACAGAAAGAAGCAACTAAGTAGACCTTATTAATGTTATGAAGTGATATCAGCATAAATACAGTGTATTTTTTGAATGCATTTGTATTATTACTGTCCTAGTTCAACACTTTTTAGATTTGGCTGACTGACAGTTCTTTGGACAATCTCTAATCTTAATGAAAACATATTAATAAGAATATTTGCTTTCCTCCAAACACACAGTTATTTTAAAACGATGTGAAATTAGAATATCCAGCATGAGTTAATTTTAAAATTACAAAAGAACTGAGTCAAAACCAAATTAATCTTCCAGCAGCAAGCTCCTGACAGTGATTCTACTGACAAAAATACCTCCCCCCTCCAAACCTTTCTGCATATTCATAGTGCCCTAGTAACATAATACAGAACAATAAATGACTTGTGTGCTAGCTGCTAGTTTTCCTTAAACATCAAAGTGATGCTCCAGGTGAGGGGAATAAAGACAATAATCAACTGCTGAAAGATTTACTCATTTTTTGTGTCAATGGGAAGGGAGGGTTGGTTTATATTTGAGAGCTTGTGCAGTAAGTTGTTCTATGTCATCTTTTCATTCTGCACTGACACCTGGCATAAACTTTACTAGTGCACATACTCTGCCTCTACAGTTCAAACAACATCATGCATTAGGACACGATAAAAGCATTTATTTTAGACAAGGGTTCACCTGCTTGGTCCTTGGTTTAGTGTCACACTTGCATTTTCTGTTATGTGTTTGCTTTCTCTCAGCTGGTTCTTTCAGCTTTCTTCTTGCTTTGAGACCTTCATCTTTGCTTCTGGATGATTCCATCACTTCCCTACAGCCAGCCTTGGCAGAGCACTGTTTTTTCCTTTCTTGTTGGCATTTTGTTTAGTTTTTTTAAACTGTAATTTCTCAGCCTTCTCTCAAGTAGGTGATTGAATTAAAAACAAGGGTAGGGGGAAGGAAACTATAACTGTTCAGTGAAAGTGACACACAACCTAAATCAGCATGTGTGATAATGCCACTCACTGTGGTACAAGCACCAGCCCCCCGGCAGGGAAGGGCACATAAGCTCACCCACTGCATGGCTTTGAGACCCCCAGACTCCCCTCCTGTACCTGCTCCCCAGTCAAAAGCCTTGCAGCTGGACCCCCTTCTTCAGGTGGGAGCTGCTGAGGAGTGCACCGTGCACTCTGGAGGCACAGGTGAGAGGACAGGACAGGCTGACAGAAGACTGGAGGTTTCTTAGGTTGCATTTATTTATGACTGGGGAAAGGATGCAGATCTGCAGCCGGCACTGCTTTGCCTATTCCTTTCAATATACACCCCATAGCCTGGTGGTGAGGTTTTTCCTCAGTGTAAGTAAACTCAGATGAAATTCAAATGAGTTTTGTACAGGCTGATGAATTTCCAGTATAAACTCAACATACTTCCCTAGATTTCAGCACACAGGTTAGAAAATAGATCTAACTACATATGCTTGAAGTGAATTCTACAATTTAAACAAAAATATTTCACAGATCTTGGAAGGAAAATCTTGTCTAGAAAAAGGAATACACTTAATGAAAACTCATATGAAGTTTTCTACTGCATTTTCTGTGACATTTCAGCAACAGAAAGCTCTAGATGGGCATATGCAGAGATTCCCTGAAGGAAAAAACACACACACTCTTGTTTTAAGTCTTGTTTAATTATCAACTTGTTACTTGGATATAAGTTTAAGAATTTTGGAATTTTTAATGTTTTTCTCATCAGTGAATTTTAATGCAGGCTACAAAGACATTTCCAAGTTTGTGTGATTCTAAACATATTTCTTAAAAAAAAAAAAAAAAGGTGGATCAGATTTGGGCAGATCTGTTCCATGCCTTACTGAAATTTCAGCATGTGCTCTTTTCCTCTGTTGTGGGAAAGGAGAAAGGTTTTGTCAGATGAAATACTTAATGTGAACTAGGTCAACACACTTGACTTGGATTTCTAGTCTCTGTCAGAATGGGGCTGCCAAGCTAGCCCTCACATGCCCCAGTCCCAGGGTAAATACAGTTTATGGATTAGCACCTGGCTTCATTTAATGCTATTACTTGTTTTAAGTGCATCTTTTTGTTTTCTTGTTTGTTTAAAAAATCACATCTAGTAGAATTAGTTATTGTTTACCTGTAAATTTTACTAAACATGCTTTGAGAATACATAATTGTGGCAGGTTGTCCTGTCACAGTATCCCTGTTGCACCTCTCTATGATAGTTAAATGGTTGAGGAAGAGCTTTCCAGAAAACAAGGCTGAAGAAACTGTTCTAACATGTCTCCAACATCTCTGCATGTTGGCAGAGATCTCAAATTAGGTGCAAAACTTGGGTTAAAATTAATTGTCATGAAAACCAATTTAAATTGTCCTGTAAATTGCATGAAATAAGTGGATTTTCAGCTGCCAGTAAGAAGCTGGCTGAGTCTGGTCTAGGAAAAACAGCTGCTTAGACTGGATGAGTCTACCAAGCTGTCCAAATCAAGACATGTACTGGATGGAATGCTGAAAACATAACTCAAACCACAAAAATGTAGATTTCTGTATCAGTTACAAAATTCATATTCAAAACTTCAAAATGTCAACTTTGCATATCTTCGCAATTTATTCCATTTGGGCAACTAGTAGCCTGTGGCCAACAGGCAATCTTAGCATGGGTTTAAAAGCCTGTACAATTTGAAATAAATGCTTTGTGATTGCTACTGAGACTTTCAGCTTAAGCCAACAAATGTCTTTAAATGTTTGAAATCATCTCTGACTGCAAACCAGAAATCACAAAAAGCTGTATGGAGAAATATGATATGCTAACTATAGCAAAACATCCCAATAATCTAGATTGCTAATACAAAAGGGTCCTCCTCATCATGCTTTCTATTGTCTATGGTCTATAAATTTGGAGTAGGGAAGTTCTTATCTTCAGTCAGACCACAGCTGCTGTAAATTGCATGCAGAAGACAGTTCAGATCACTTGGAAGAGCATTCAGGAAATGCTCACTGATTTAATTGCTCTCCTTCAACTCTATCCCAGCTGTTGATAATATCTGAGTTTATTACACACACCTGCACACACAGAGCTACCTCACGGATTTCTGCACACAAGACAGCTCAAAAGACCAGCCAGTGGTTGGCAAAATGCAGAAGAAATATTGGAAATTGAAACGAGCTCACCAAAGAATGAAGATGAGTATGTGGTAGTATCTGATGCAGAGCTGTGTGCCAAATCAGAGATAAACCTACAAAGCATAAGCACTGTCACTATAAATCGATATGTAGAATATGAATACATGAAAATGGTATCATTTTTCCTGCCACTAACAAATACTAGTGACTTTCAACAGGGCAGTCTCAGTCATTTGTGTCATGTGAGAAGGCCAAAAAATGGTATCTAGTGTTGGAATTAAATTACTGTTTCCTGCAGCATCAGAGGAGGACTTTCTTAAATTATTCTCCACTGTAAATGGTGTCATTACCATATGTGTGCACACATCCCTGAATACAGTTAACATTTGATGGAATAGCTTAACAGTTTTGAGTTTACTGCATTAACCAAAGTGTTACCATAGAATCTGCCAGCCAGGTCGAGAATTCTTTCCATCGCACAGGGCTTTGTTTGGGGATGGGGAGAGTAACCGTAAGCAACACTCTCCTTTTTAAAAATACTTGTAGCATTGAAAGCTACTGGGTGACATATATACCTCATTTGTGTGATTCTAAGCCTGAAGGCACACTGCTGATGGAAGAGTGGAGGCAGACATCCACAGGCGTCTGCTGAAACCATGTACTCTGAGCCAAAGTCTGGAAGGCGTGGCATGGGTGTGCATTAGTGGGAAGAACTGTTCATGTGACAGTGTGGTTTGGATTCACAACAGACAACTGTTTTCTAATATTCCCTGTTAAAATAAATTATAGAATCATAGACTGGTTTGGGCTGGAAGAGACCTTAAAGCCCATCCAGTCCCACCCCCCTGCCCCAGGCAGGGACCCCTTCCACTCGCCCAGGCTGCTCACAGCCCCGTCCAACCTGGCCTTGAACCCTGCCAGGGAGGGGGCAGCCACAGCTGCTCTGGGAAACCTGTGCCAGTGTCTCACCACCCTCACAGGGAAGAATTTCTTCCTTCTATCTAATCTAAATCTGCCCTCTTTCAGTTTAAATCTGTTTGTCCTATCCCTACCCTTCCTAATGCAGAGTCCCTCCCCATCTCTCCTGTAGCCCCTTTCAGCACTGGAAGGCCGCTATAAGGTCTCCCTGGAGCCTTCTCTTCTCTGGGCTGAACACCCCCAACTCTCTCAGCCTGTCCTCACAGGGGAGGTGCTCCAGCCCCTGATAATCTTTGTGGCCTCCTCTGGGCCCGCTCAAGCAGATCCATGTCCTTTTTGTGTGGGGGTCCCAGAGCTGGACACAGCACTGCAGGTGGGGGTCTTACAAGAGCAGAGCAGAGGGGGAGAATCCCCTCCCTCGCCCTGCTGGCCACACCGCTCTTGATGCAGCCCAGGACAGGGTTGGCTTTCTGGGCTGTGAGCGCACATTGCTGGCTCACAGTCGGTTTTCCACCCACTACTACAGTAATTTGTTTTCTAATGTTAAAAAGTACAAATTTCCATCTCTCTACCATTCTTTCCCTCTCAGGTTTTGCATCAACTTTAGCCTGAATATTGGAAGATTCATACAAACTTGAGAACACTTTTCAATCTTAAAAAATATCAAAAAGTCAAAATATAAAGAATTCCACTGAGTTCCATCAAAGACCAGAATCTGTTTGTGTGCTTGTAAGATCACAGTGATCTCTGACTCTTCCACTCTTGAGATGAGAGATCTTACCTTTCAGCAGATCTTGGATTGGTGGTTCATTATTTTGGTGGACTTTGTTCATAGGACCAGGTGTTGGAATTTGCCAGCAGTAGGTTTTTAATACTTGGAGCAGGGATCAACTACAGTTCTTGGTATTACACAAAAGATCTTCACCTTGCATCAACATTTAAGTGGTCCTCTTAATATATCCATAACATTTAAAAGAATAACTTAATAAGTTTTTGCCTTCAGGTTTAAGAGCAGACAGAGACCCTCAATGGGGAGTCTCTGTTGCTTCTCAGAAAACTGCACTACAGCCAGTAGTTATCTCCTAGAGTTAAATTATTAAACAAAATGTTTCCTAGAGCTAAATAGCACAGATTTAAGCAGATTTTGGTTTCAGTTACACTGCTGTAATTCCAGAGCATGTCATTTAAGACCACGAGGCCTATCAAAATCAGTGGACTTAATATCGGTTTACAGAGGAGTTTATCTGCACATATCTGCAGCCTATCTGAACATAATTTACAATAATTAGATTTTGTATCTTGATGTAGTTGAAAATTGAGTCAGAACCAGTTTCCAAAAAATCAAATACTGCATGTCAGCAAAGCCTTTTCTGTAAGATTTGTCTTCATAGTAACTAAGCTTTGAAGCAGAATGGTGAGGGGGAGGAGATGATTTTTTTCTCCCCTTCTAATCCAATCTATTTAAACAGAGGAATCAAAACAACAGATGTTTAGTATGAAAAATGCTGCCTGAGATACTGGTGCCACAGAATCCAGCATGAACTCACCAACAATGAGAAGATGAAGAGACTACAGTTTTCCTGTTTCAGTTTTACCAATCTCTAGTCTGCTGTGATTTGAATGGGCAAGTCTGGAGCATCATGTTAAAAAGAAGCCATAATTTCCGCAAGGAGAGTGGTTTACAAGCCATGCATCATCCTACCGTGCCCCATCCTGAATCTCTGCAGTATGTATGGTATTGCTTTCTGGGTGTAAACAGAGGATTACGAGATACAAAATTTTATCTGACCACATCATTTTTGAGAATAATATTAGACTATGTACCAGAGAAATCTTGTTTTAATGAAAAATATCTATTTCTAATATTTTCTCAGCTTGATGCAGTATAGCGCAGCAACTGAAAAATATTTTCAGTATTGGGACATCTGAATTGTATCTCTCATACCTTGGCAGACACATTTGATACTAATCATTTTGCTTAGCTGGCACAAGTATTGCTTTCATCATTTCCTACTGGCCTTTTCCAATTACTTTTTATAATTTATGACACAGCAGTCTGTAGGGCTGCTGCTGTAAAAAGTTAGAGACAAACAAGCTTTTTCATTTCCTTTTGCAGTAGTATCTTCTTGCCATTTACTCTCCTTATTTTGCCACCCACTCTGTGCTTTATAAGGAAAGTATTTAGTTTCTTATTCCTCACAGGAGTATCAAGATCAAGGACGTAAAAATCTCTCTCCTTTTAAATAGATCAGGTTTTGACCTTTAGGCTAACATGTCCCAGTATAGCAGACACTCTGGGTGCCTAATGCATTGCCACCGTATTTTTCTTCCCACACACATTACTGACTACATTGTGACACTAGGGCCATTATGGCAGACAGTGTTTGCCTGACTCATCTTTTTCTTATTTACATTTATTCTGCAAATGTCTCTGCTATTAGTTTGCGCCCCCCCCCCAAGAACAGGGGCTAAGTGGAAAGGAAGCACATCTGCTGCTCTAGTGAGGAGGAGCAGCCCTGGTTGCTAACGTCTCTCCTACACTAACTGCAGGGCTCTGTGAAGAACCACCACCCATGGTCTAGCAAACAGTCAGATGTCTGCACCCCTGTAGCTTAAGCCATCCACTGTTCTCCAGAAGCTAACCCTCCCTCCATGTCTGTGATCCTAATTACTTTTGATGAAAGGCGCAAATAGTTGAACCACCACTCCTGTGTGTGTACCTTTTGTCGTGATTATATTTAATAAATTTTCTACAAGTATATGCTCAGCACTTGTCACTAGTCAAGTTTGACTCTTGTTTCAAACAGAAATGTCATCTGCTTATGTCAAATTAAAATCTGGTTCAGCTTTTGAATGTGATCCTGCCTATATTGTACTGCTGCCCAGTGAAATGCTGTATTGAAACATGACCTTCTCAACAGAAATACCCCAATGACCCCTAAAACCAGAATTTTGTTCAACTTGACCTGCATTTTCTTTTTGTTGCTAGGAAGCTTGATTGCCCTGAGATAAAAAAAACACTGTTATATCTTAAATTTTATCGTTTTAAATTGTTTATT